TTATTCTTAAATTGTTGGCCAACATTTTTTATAAAAAATTCTGTATACCCAGAGCACCATACATTTCAGTCATTGTTTGACCCAATGCTGGGAAGAATGTCAAATCTACTTTCAAATTATTTTTGATCCTCAATTTTCCAACTTTTTCAATTTCTCAATTTTTAGCCAAAAATTTGTAAAAAAAAACTGTTTCACCCAGAACCATACATTTCAGTAATATTTTGCTTTACAGTATTTCAGCTATCTCAATTTTCAGACAAAATGTCGTGCAAAATAACTCTGCGCCCAACACACGGGATTTCACGAAAAAAAATTTTGAAATTGTTTTTGATTTTTTTTGGGAAAGTACATGATGAACATTATTTGATCTCCTATGTGCTGGGAGATCATGATTTTAGAGCCAAGATTCAACTGACTGGGATTGTAAGGGGCCTCTGGGTGCCCCAACAATCGGGTGACCGGACCGTGGTTTGGTGGGCTGGGGATTCCGCAGACCAACTACTGCCCCGGCTGGCGGTTGGAGGGACCGGGGGTTGCCGGCTGGCGGGTGCGCGACCATGAATTGAATGGCTGGCAACTGACCCGGTACCATATGAACAATGCGCAAAGGATTTCTTTACAACAATTGCAAAACTTTACACAGAAACCTGCAAAACAGCAAATTGAAAGAAATCAAGAAAAAACTGTATGTCACAAGGAAAAATCTTGTAAGGTTACCAGCTCACCAGAAAAATTTGTGTTGACAGCTGCGACTGTCAATTGGCACTGAAGACCTCAGGTTTGATTTTCTGTCCTGAAGAAGGCTTGACTCAGAGAAACCGTCGTAAAAGGAGACCTTGAGAACAATTGGTTTCTTCTATTTTGTCGTTTTTTGAAAACACTTGCACTTGTGAGAATCATGCACTTCAAAACATTTGACAATAACAACGATTTTGTCAACGCCAAGTTGGCACCTGTCAAACTTTCCTCAGCCAAAGCCCTGACTTGTTACCAAGAAAAATGATGGAACCTGTTTTTATTTTTGCCTAGCGTGAGTTCATAACGCAGAAACCAAATTGCAATTATTTTCTTTTCTCCTTATTTGGAGGGAGATCCTTCTCTACAAGGTATTTGTTTCCTTGCAGCTGTTCCCCTTTTGTTTTGGCTCCCCCTCTCTCACGTCAGCCCACATTAATGCTTGATGGTCGTTATTGCGCATTTCTCCTTTTCAATGTGCTATTTGTTGACAGTGACAAACGACCTGCATGTCCTTCTTCTAAACTGCAAATTTAGAAGAAGCCTATTCTGTTGAATTTGCAAATGTATACATGTTATTTATATTTATAAGATATACCGGGATATATGTATTCATCAAGTGTGTTCAGGGAGCCCACAGTTCCTCAATCTTGGTGAATATTCTGCCTCTAAATTTTATGTTCCCAGGAAGGTATAAATATACCTTCCTTCCCACATACTTCTCCAGAATTAATCTAGAGTCATTTGCGGTTATTTCTCAGAGAGACTTGTGGAATGTTTTAGCAAGACTCTCTTAAAGCTCTCTGTTTTTATGTTTGTGTGATTATACAAATATTTGTGAATTGAATATATTTGAAGCATATATTTTTATTATTGGACTTGTATATTTTATTTTACCTTGGTCTATGGACAACAGTATTTAAACAAAGAAAGGCATATCTCACCATGAAATAATACTCTTGAACAAATGTTTGCACAGCATGAACAAGGGATCATGGCTAAAATGAAAAAATCAAATCTGATTCTTTCAAAATGGTCTCAAAATGTTTAGAAAAAAGTCAGAATCATTCAAGAAGTTTCCCTGTTGTAAATTTAGAGTCTTTTATCGTGGACCACCAATTCAGGTCACAAAAATGTAACGAATGTGAAGATAAGCATTTGAGAGCATCGACACAAATCTTGCAATAATTTATCATCAGCTGGATGGGACTTTTATTGATTCTGATATGTTTGGACTTGAAGATGATGATTTCATTTCCCACTTTCCATTGACCAATATCAAAGAGGGCCTGGAAGGACAAATGCGTGATTTTTTTCTTGCTTGTATTTGTGATATCATCCCTTGAGTTATGGGGTGATTCATGCAGAGATTGCAGACTTATGGTAATAACACGCCGTCGTGGTTTACAAAACACAGCCCACTAAAATTAAGTATGATTAAATTTTGTTATACTGTAGTTTTTCAGCACAATCAATGGCTCTCAGTTTTTTACGGTGGTTTCCTAAGAAGCCTTTTCTCACCAGTCTGATATTCTGCCTTCATTCTGTAGTGCGGAAATAACTAATTTACGCACTATTTCCGGAGTAAACATGAGGGAGTTCTGTTCGTCCAGCTCTTCAGCGGCGATGGATTCTTTTCTCTTACTGCTGGGCTGAGTCGTAGGTTTTTTTTTTTTTTTTTTTAGGGTGGGATACAACTTTTGTGAAGAGTCATGAAAACCCAGCGTCAGGGGAAGCAGGGCAAAGTTTGTCCAAGAAATTCCCATAATCGGATTTCTAAACTTTTTACACTTTCCACCAAACCCAACACTCGAAAGACTAACTTCTGTCAAATGTAAATCCGAATCCTTCTGGAATCTCATTCAACTCAACCCGTCAGTCGCACGATTAATTTAGATTGTCAATAAATTATAATTCTGATAAATTGAGCCTATTCAAAGTTTTATAGATAATCAAAGTTGAGCAGATAAAAGATAAAAAAAAGCTTTTCCCTGAAAAACAAAAATCTTGATTTGAAATATATGCAGCGATTTCCTCGAGTATTCCTGAGTCGAACATGAGAAAGAAATGGAACAGTCACGAAAAAACTTTTTTTTCGTTTCATCGTTATTCAGCAGAAACCGACTTGTTGGTCGCATGAAATTGTGAAAAAATGTTCTTCCTTCACACTATACCATTTTCCATGGACACAGTAAGACGGTATCCGGTATCCCGAAATTTGATTCGAAGTAAGACGGTATCCCGAAATATTCACGAATATCGCGAGGATACACTAGTGCGTTAATCACCACAAGTGTTAAAACTGAATTTTTGAAACTTAGTTCGAAATTCTCAACGCTTCTATACTCCATTTTCCTATTTCGAAAGTTTTAATTCAAGCGTGCATCTTCTTTTCTTACTGATTTCAGACAAGCATGTGACAGCGTGCATATTCCAAGGAGTGTAACCCGATTTTAGTCGCACAAGACTCCTGAAAACCGGTGAACTTAAGTCCTGCAGTTTAGTCATTTTAATTGGGCCGCATGCGAAAAAAAAGAAGAGTTATTTGATTCGAAGATATGGGGTGAAGTTCAGTCTTTTAAAATCATGTGTCGAAATTCCTTGCATACTTTCTTTCAGATGCTCAAAGTTCGGAAATCAAAAATTTTGTGGATCATCTTACTGGTAGTCGTAATAACATTCTGGTTAAGGCTGGAATATCACAAATTTAGACTACCTCCCCTTCATTCATCAACTGATGAAGAACCGAGACCAGGTAAAAAAAATCTGCGTTACTTCAATTAAAACTAAATTTTCAACCCTCTCTGTTTGGGATTGTCATGCAGAGAAGCACCTAAATGAAATGCAATGAAATCATGTGGAATTTCTCTACTTCTAAATTGATCTGAAAATCCAATGGATATATAATTCTGTCTGGGAATCCTAACAAAGATACCAGAACATTGAATAAATGATATGGTACATAAATTTCAACTCAAACAAATTGAGAATTTTAGATTGAGACAATATAATCTGAATCCCATTTTTAGACCCACATTTCAAAAGAGAGAAGGTTGAAAACTGTACCAAGTGTTCATATGTTTTTTATCCAGTGATGATAATAAGAATTCTAGAGCCAATGAAAGTTGTAAAAAATTGGTTCAGGTGAAACTTCTAACCAACCTGCATGAGGACCAAAGTTGAAGAGTATTTTTAAACAAAATTAGCATTAAGGTGACACAGTTGTATGGCGGAGATTTTTGATTGAAGCTGATTTTTCTGCTGAGGCTTTAGTGCTGCATCATATTTGAATCAAATAATGAAAAAAACACACTCCAGTGGGTAACAGCTTTTCTTATTCCATTTTGCTCTGAAGTTTGTTTGGAAAATGCTGGCCACTTATTGGGAAACCAAAGAAATGTGCAAATCTTACTGTATATACCCATACTGTTCTCAACCTCATCTCAAATGTTCTCACTTCTATGGATCACTTAGAATATGAAGGGAAGCAATGGGGGTGTTGTTGGGCCGGAATCGACAAAGGTTTATGCAAATAAATGTAACAAGGTGCTCAGCCTTTAATGGCTGGATCCTCCAGAAGGGAGTCCCTTAACAGAACCTTTTTAATTGCAACACAAGGCAGGCCACACAGCAGAACAACCTTAAAAGATAATCACACAAGAAAGGAGCATTCCCACAAGTAGCATGCAAAACAAATCTAACAGAGCTCAACAAAGACATCACACGTCCACTTCACTCCAAGCTTGCAAGTAATTGGCTTCGGGGCCCTGACCACGAAATTCTGAAATTCCATAAGCTCTAATCTTCTACTTGACAGACTTTGTCAAAGCTGAAAGCATTTTTCCAAGCCTTCATTTGATTCTGAGTCAATAATTCATAGCACTTTTCTTTCCCTCTTTGTGAGATTTCTTTAGCACACAATATTTTTCTCACACACCCTGTATATGAGCGCAGGGTTTCTTATCTATGATATCTATGGTATATTATCTTATATATGTTTCTTAGTTATGTTTTTAAGATGCAAACAAAGACAAGAAATAAATATGAGATATGCATCCGTGAACCACAATAACTGTATTTGCTACAGTTGCGAAGTGCCATGCCACTGTATCCGGATACTGTTCCTGAAATAGTGAAATACTATGTGAAATAAATATTTTAAAATATGGGCTTCCTGGTTGAAGAATTGACCTGGAGAAAACTCGGTATTTTTTTAAACGTATTCGACCTTACCATAACTTACAAAACGGAGAACCTTGTGAACAATGGCATTGAAATACTTTGATGTCCGAAAGACTTCAGTCAAAGTTGCATTCACTGTTTTCATAATCATATATGGATTTTGGATCTATTGGCACCACCAAGGGTCCGAGCCCAAGTATTCACTTTCGTTGGAGCAACAGAATGCGTGGTTCCAGCAGCAACGAGACACTGCTCCACCTGTTCAATATCTTGAAGAAGCAGTAGGAGTGAATTTTTCTCTTCCTCATGCTCCAAAAGCAGGTAAGAATAAGCAGTTGGAAGTTCTGAATCTTCATCTTTAATGATTTGCAAATCAGAAAGTTGAGCTTCCTTGATGTGTACAAGGGTCAGATACATTGGACCCTCAGTTAATAAACTGGTTCGCTAACAAACTTTGTCCTCAAAGAAAAATCCCTTGGTTGACAGAACAACAATTTTTGAACAAACTTGTGTTTACTGGCAAACACCACATTTACTCAAGTACTGTACCATGTGTGGGAACAAATATCGTACTCACCAAATGACATAGTACTGCTAAAAGACGAGATGGTTACCTGTAGTTGCTAGAGTTATTTTGCTCTGAAATAAATTTGCGAGGACAATCAGCTGGGCTGTGGACAAGAGCTGGTGGTAATATCATTTTTTCCTATTTTCTAAGATTGAGATGAGACAATGATTTGCCATTCAATTTGATGCACAAACGCACAAAACAAGACAATAGGTTTCCCAGCCTTTTCAGGAATTTGTTTTATTTCTGAGGAAATTTTAATGGTGCCATTCTGTCATTTTTTCCCACACCATGCGCACGTTTTTTCCTGCAAAATCAAGGCTGAAAAGCAGCTGTAGGTGTGATGAAAGTACAGTAATAATGTCTTCGAGCAAAACTATATGAAATTACTGTAATGTTGCAAGTCATGAATGATTCACACTGGTAGGTGCAATAATGAACAGGTAGTTATATTTGACTAGAATCCAGTTGAAATGCTTAATATCATGATGGCCATGATGAAATGCTATCAAAGGGTACTGGAGCAACAATGTAAATACTCTCCACTACCATTTTGTCTGGTCCATCATTATTGATTCAAGTATTTCAGCGATTTTCAACGGAAGTTTTTGTTTTGAAGGGAAAACGGAACTAGAAACAGGCGGATGGATCTTGAAACCTGAAAAACTCCGAGGAGCTCATCGTTTAGATCCATATCTTTGCAAAGCCTTGGAGGAAACGCTGTTTCGAGGGAAGTCGGTTCTGGATCTGGGTTGCGGAATAGGCCTGTATGGGATTTGCTTCCTGAGACTCAAAAATCACCCATTTTCGGATCCTGGGACAGATATTTTTACCAGGTATGGTAAATCTATCCAAATCGCGAAAATAAAAACTATACGATTTTGAGAAACTTTAAAAATAACTTTCCTAAAATTATATTCCGAGGTTTATTCTTTGAAATGGCATCTGCGGAACGAGGTTGAATTTACACGAGTTACACTGCTTATAGTTTTGAAAAACCCAAACTTGTTACAGTACTATTAATATAATCCCAGTCCGCTTTTGCTTCTATGAGGCCAACTTTTTTCCCTCCTTCTTCTTCGGGTTCCCCTCAATTTGGCCGCAATAACAAGAATTAAATGTCGAAACCATAGATGAAATTAAATTGCCTCTATATATGAGGTTATTGGCATGATAAAATGAACCAGAGAAATAATAAAATCCTTGCGTTGTTGGCTGAATTCCTTTTGCTCTTGATCCATCCCCAGGATGAAATGAACCATGACAGGAAAATTTTTTTTTCGGCTATACAAGTGGTACCTTGCAATCCAACTCTAATGCTTTGCTGAACCAGGGTCAAATTGCAAATTGATCAAATTGGGAGACACTACATCAAATGCAAAAATATAAATATAAATGCTAAAAAATGGAAAAAGCAGGTCAAATTGTGGGGCTAGGGTCAAATTGCAAGTCAACCTCCCTGCAAAATCCACTGTCAAATTGTGGGGTTGAATTTTGTGGGACCACATGTACAAGGGTTCTAACAAAAGTTCTCGGAGTAGCAATGAAAATGGCATACAATTGAGCTGAAAAAAATTTATTCTTTAGCGAAAACATATTCTTCGGCACTCAAAAAAATCAGCCCAGTTTGACAATTTTTTAACATTTTGCAAAATTCATCCTCATAGAGTTTTGCTCCCCACTCAAAAAATGAGGCGCCTTTTTTTGTTGCAGCCCAGCTTTCCCCTCAGAATTTTAGAAATCAACTCGACATCCTTTCTAAGGGCTGCCTCCGGGTCATCCAAGGCAATTCCGCCATTTTCATCAACAGCCGTCTTCACAGCTGCCAAAGTGGTGGCCAATGTAGCGGCTGTGAAGGCGGCTGTTGATGAAAATGGCGGAATCGCCTTCAATGACCTGGAGGCAACCTCTGGCATGAATACCATGTTGATTTCAAGAATTCTGAGGCAAAAGCAGGGCTACAACAAAAAAGGGTGCCTCATCTTTTGAGTGGAGAGCAAAACTCGATGAGGATGAATTTTGCAAAAAATGTAAAAAAAATTTGTCAAATCTGGCTGATTTTTTTTAGTGCCAAAGAATATGTTTTTCCTAAAGAATACATTTTTTTCAACTCAATTGTACGCCATTTTCATTGCTACTCCGAGAACTTTTGTTAGAACCCTTGTATATGATGTTTAAATTTTGTAGCTTGCCATTTTTGTGGAAAACTTACAGAATGCATAATCTTGATTATTTCCAGCAGCACCCTGAAAGGGCTACGCGAATGGTGGACTTCGACAAAGCCCATGATTGGGTCCTGGACTGGCTACGATGGAAATCCTCACGTTGAGGATTTGACGTTTGGGTTGGTGCGCCGGTTTGACCTCAGCAAGCCAGGTTCCATCGGCAAAACCTTTGACTGGGTCATGAGCCTGGAAGTCGGAGAACACATCCCTCGGGAATATCAGG